TTCGGCCCATTTTAAAAGTTTAATTTCCATAAATATTTGAAAATTGTTATTAGACGGATATCTGAATAGTTTTAAATATTTATTTAGCTATGTTTTGCTATTTTAATTTCTTTAATGAAGTGCAAAACCTTCGAACAAAAAAAAACTACTTTAGCATGTTTTACGACAAAAAAAGCTTCTTATAAGTTGATGTCAACTTTTGATTGCTGCCCAAATGTGCAGGCAAAAAATGAGAATGCATTCGAATGAATTCGGAAGCAATCAATACCTCACTTTTAATCATTAAATTCGTGCCTTGTCGCTGAAATGTAGTTTGTATGAGTTTTACTAAAATTCTTTCTGCGTATAATTCGATTAGACTTAATTAATTTAGAGCATTAATAATTCGAATGCCGGTTGTTTGGCATTCATGCAGTAGTGTAAATCCAGCTTACAGTGGAGTAACTAAGTAAGTATCTCTATCTGTTTAAATTAGAATTCCATATGTTCTCATTCCAGCCAATCTCTGCCAGGAAACAATAATCCTTTTGTTGGTTGCATTCATTATAGAGATATTCAATCCAATCGTTGGCTGCTCTGCTCCGATTGGTCAGCCTATCCATGGTGCGCAGCGGATAAAGCGGCCGCTCAGCCAGTTGTCCCGCTCACACCTTATCCGAATCAAAATGAAAGATTGTTGATGTGCGCGGGATTGAACTTAATGCCGCCTGTCTTTATCTTTGGCGGGTAGTTTTTGCATAATTCTACATATTAAACAGCCAAGACAAGGTCGTTGACGGGTCCGGGTGCCCACTGACAATGTTTACATGGCTTCAAATTACACGCGGGATTAAAGTAGAGATTGTTCGTGAGGGTGGAGTGCGTTGATGTGAATATTTGTTTACTATTGAACATGGAAGGAATGCTCTTCAAGCATGTCTTGAACCGATTTAAAACAGAAATAAAACTGCACGACTGGAGGACTATCCTTAGGAAAGTATTCAATAAATTGATGTTTGAACACAAAACGTTTCGTTTTCGTTTAAAGGTGTTGTTGTTGCCCTGGTCAATTTTTTCCGAGCCAAATTTAAGGATGGGTTAAATAAAATTATTTATAAAGAAAGAAAAAATGTGATTACCATGATATAGGTGTCAAGTTTATGTTAATGCATCAATAGGTCATCTATTTTTTTCCTTTTTGAAATTAAGGTTCGTTTCGTTGTATAAAAATCGTTTACTTTTAATTTCGTCAACGAAAATGTTTTCGTTTTGAAAACGAATAAATCTTGCGGAATGTGAAAACGGGAGCCCCAATTTATGTGTATTTAAAAGACTTTTGTGTTACTAAAAATATTTTCCTAGAATACCTTAAGAAAGTAGCTGGTCTCCATTGCCTTAGAAACCATTTTCTTTATTTAAATAAAAGAGAACCATTTTCCCCAACTGCTGACATAGTGGTCCCAGCTCTGCATGGCTTATGGCGAGGGAATCCCTAAGAACTGTAAAACAATTTGGGGGCGCCGACAATTGAGTGGATCAATCAAAAAGAAGAGCTCCTGCCACCAAAAGGGAACTGGGCTTAGGACTGACTCTCCATCGTCCAGAAGGGACATGTGATGAATTCGCTCTCTAATTGCCTGCGAACACAGGTGGAAACCAGGGGGCGGCAAGCTTAAAATCATATTAATAAACGTAATGAGTACGTCTGGGCCAATTACATATTCAATTAGGGAATGGGAACGGGAACCTGCCGGGCGGACTCGTTAGGACAACTCTTGGCCTCCGTGCAACAGGCATCAGGCGTCGGCTGCTCTGTCGCCATCGCCGTCGCTGTTTCGGTCGCAGCTGATAAGTACTTTTAATTAATTAATCATTACAGAGCCAAAGAACAAAAGACATAAGTCAAAAGCTGCACAAGACCGAATAAAAAATGGCACAAATATCGATTTACCCGAAAAAAAAATATTACAAAGAGAAACCCGAAAAATACCGCCAAGTTTTGTTCTTGGAGCGGTGACAGTCGGCGCCGGGCAATCCATCAATTTGTGCAGCGCCAATTACGCCAGTTACTCGTCACGTCACGTCTCAGTCCCCGGACGGACACCACTCGGACAGCGGACAGCGGACGACGGACAGATACGGGCTGCCGTGTGGAGACACTAGAGCTTTGTAAGAAGAATCGACATGAACGACGGCAGTTGAAGTTTTTTCTGGAGCTGTAGCAGCGGCGCCCCATCAACCTGGCGTCAGGTTTTGGTCTTTCTGGACACTTGTAACCGGGTTTGACGCCTCCAGTGGCCGTCATCTAGCCCATATATCTTACTTCCGACGGCTTCCATGGCGCTAAACAGACATTAATGGCGCGACTAACAAATCCCACGAAAGTCCTAATTGGAAATAAATTACAGTCCCACTTGACTAGACATGTGCACTCAAATGTGATCATTACACAGCCAAAGAACAATGAGAAATTGAATAAAGGGCAATAAGATGATCTATGAGACGTATACTTAATCTTCGTCATATCTACCTTTAGTAAATCCATGATTTACTTTGCCAATGATTAGATATTAAAAGACGGATTCCCTGAACTATCAGAAAGGTATTGCACTTCACAGAAAACCACTTAACATATGACTCAACCAGTAGATATATATCCTAACTTAAACAAACAATTCTGTGTACTTTTAACCGATAAGTGTACACAACAAATAAGAATTAATTGTCAATTTAATCCAAATAGATTTGATAAGATATTAAACAGTTAAGAGAACATATGGAATGTTTCTTGGGAAATTGATAAATACCTTAACTGGACTTCCAAAAGACAGTAAGAGTGTTTCAAACCTTGCAAAGGATGTACATATCTTCAACGATGAAAAAAATACTACTGCATTTAAAGACCTTTCCCTGCCTTTCTTCACGATCCGATTCTTAAATCCTATAGCTGTCTATAGCTCGATTTCACGTATATAAGACGACTGTGCCATTAAAAACAATGAATATCTAAGCAATTGTTTAATTCCCGACATATCGCGATGATAACTAACTAAATTGTGAAACCAAACAGTTCGGTTCATTCCCAAAGCAAAGATAGGATATATGTTGGTATATCCCAAAATGGAAAACTCAAACTATATCGCAAACTGTCGAGCAGCAGCCACACCAACCCCCAAACCATAACACGGATAGTCGTATCTCTCCTGTAGATTGGTGCAGTGCTGGCTGTTGTTCGTTTGGGCATGTGGGACAGTTTCAGTTTTGGGATTGGGACTGGGACTCGGATTGGGTCGAGGTAAGTGGTGTGTAGTGCGAGTAGTATATGGAAAGACACTCACACACATCCTGTTACTATTAATTGCTGCTGTCCGAAAAATATAACGAATCACCTTGGAGCGTTTGGGCCGAAAACAGCCAAAAGGACGAAGGGAATGCCACAGGCACTGGAGTTGGCATGGCCAACACTCCACTGTCCTTCCCCCTGCCACGAAACTCCTGGCAGTGTAGAGACAAAAACTTGTGAAAATGTCAATCAACTTGTACAAAAAAAAGGAGAGAAAAAAACCAATCCAAAAAAGGAAACAACAAAGTTTTCCTCCAGACAGCCAAAGATGATGCATTGTGCGTGAAAGGTGCATGAAGATATCTGAATGTTGTATCTCTATCTCTGGCAAAGTGACAGACATGGACACGGGGCATGGACGCACGGACGGACGAACACTCGGATAACTCGTAGGGGGCGCCTACGAATTGCATCCCACTGAGTCAGAGTCAGAGTCAACGTCAGACAGTCAAAGTCTGAATCGGAGATAAAGTCAGGAGAGTCGTCGTTCGACGATTTAAATTCCAGTGTCGTCTCCATAGATGAGCTGTCATATGTTCAAATGACGATTGACAGCTGCCGCAGTCAGCATCCGTTCTCCAGCAGCTCCTCCCATAACCAGTCCTAGTCCCAGTCCCAGTCCTGCTCCTAGTTCTCAATTCCACTCCCAATCCCTTTTCTGGTTACAAAACTTCTCCTTTGGTATACGTACGAGTGAGTACCTGCCCGTCAATTCATTTGGGAATTTCGTGCGAGGTGCTAAAACGTGCCAAAACCATAAAACAAATAAAGAACATTGAGTTTCCAGTTAAAACAAGACGTCGACATGAGCATGGACATGGGCGTTACCCCTAATATCAGCGGGCGACAGGAGCGGATTAGCATGTAGCCCAGCCAGCGGGGGCCCAAAGGGGGCGTTTTGTTGGGAAATGAGCATTCAATTATGATGTTCGTTGGGTTTGAGGTGATTTCTATTTAATCGAGGACTAGTTCCTTTCTGCTTTATGGTCATATTTACAGATTTTGATGGTATATTTCTTAGGTTTCTAGTTTAAAATATCTTTCAAAAACTCCTGCAAATGCTCGCATATATGTACTTTATTGTATCATATCGATTTCTGATTTTGGACTAGTTTATTAACTAATAAAAACACAGCGAAAAGCAGCCTTGACGTACAATTGAAATTTTAGGCGGATATCCACCAAGTGAGAAATTAAATCCATTGTCTATTGGAAATTATTCTTCTATATTTCTAATTGATCTGACCAAACCATATACATATGTACTACACATATCGCATACCCCTCCAATAGTTCCCCCATCTCAAGTCCAACCCAATCCGCTCCTGCGTATCCATTGCCTGAGTAGCAAAAAAAAACACACACAGAAAGCGAAAGACAAGAAAATCTAAATGGAAACGGCACCACTGACGAAAACCGGTATGACTAACCCTCGTAGCAGTCTTTTGATAAGGGAAGACATTCGAGTACATAACAGAGAGAGCGAAACAGCCATACCTTCAGGCTAACATTGGGCCACAAGCGAAAGCGAGACAACGATAGAAGCAGAGATGAAGGCGTGGCCTACACAATCGGTCTGTTTGGGTTGATTCTCCGACCGACCAGGCCGACCAGACCAGTCGTGACCAGACTTGGTAAGCGCGCAGGCAGCACGTCGTCGTCGTTCGTGGTTGTGTTTCGATAGTGGTCGGATAGAAGATATAGAAGAACCGTTAGCCGTCGCGTAATATTACCGATTTGTGAGTGTGCCCAGCAGTGAATGAGTGAAGTGAAAATCAGAGCAGACACAGAGATAGAACGAACTCCAGTCGAAGCCAGAGGCATCGAGAACGAACTCCAGTCGAGGCTAGGGGCAAGTGTGGTTCCTGCTAGACAATATGATGGACGTAAGCAGCATGTACGGCAATCATCCGCACCACCATCCTCATCCACATGCCAATGTCTTCGATGGTTATGGCGGCACCACCACCGCCAGCACCAGCAGCAGCAGCGTAACCGCCAGCAATGCCAGCAGCTACTTTGCCCCGCACCAGCATCAGCATCACTTGCAACACCAGCAGCAGTTGCAACAGCAGCAATTGCAATTGCAACAGCAACAGCAGCAGCAGCAGCATGCCCTTACGTACAATGGCTATGAGAGCAGCTCCCCCGGCAGCTATTATCCCCAGCAGCAGGCACAACTGACACCACCGCCCCAGGCAGTGGGAGGAGGAGCAGTGGGCCTCCAGGTGCAACAGACGCAGCCACAGCCGCCGCTACCGCAGCAACAGCAACAACAGCTCTACCCCCACTCGCACCTGTTCAGCCCCAGTGCGGCGGAGTATGGGATCACGACGAGCACGGCCACCGGAAACCCAGGCACGCCACTGCATCCCACGAGCCACTCGCCGGCGGACTCCTACTACGAAAGCGATTCGGTGCACTCCTACTATGCCACCGCCGCGGTAGCCACTGTTCCGCCACCCACCAACAACTCACCTGTGACCGCGGCAAATGCCACCAATCCGCAACAGCAGCAGCAGCAACAGCAGCCAGGGATCGATGCCCATGCCCATGCCCCCATCATCAGCTCCGAGAACGGGATGATGTACACCAATCTGGACTGCATGTACAATCCAGTGCAGGCTCAGGCCCAGGCCCAGGCCCAGGCGCATGGCTATGCCGGACAGATCGAGGAGAAATATGCGGCAGTACTCCATGCCAGCTACGGGCCGGGCTTGATTCTGGAGGAGCAGGATCCCATGATGCAGCAGGCCACGCAGTCGCAGATGTGGCACCACCAGCAGCACTTGGCGGGGGGCTATGCCCTGGATGCCAGCCTTACGATGGACTCCCTGGGCATGCATGCGCACATGCATCATGGATTAGCCCACGGCCATTTGGCCAATCTTGCCACCAACTCCCACCAGCAACACCCACAGCTCCAACAGCAGCAACAGCAACATCCGAATCCACAGCAACATCCACAGAATCAATCGCCGGTGGCGCAGGCAACGTCCCAACAACAACAGCAACAGCAGCAGCAACATTCGGTGTCGCCCAATGGCGGGCTGTCGCGACACCAGCGCGGGGGTGTCATCTCCCCTGGCAGCTCCACATCCTCATCGACAGCCTCCGCCTCGAATGGCACGCACACAGCGAGCGCACAATCAAAATCGCCAAATCACTCGAGCAGCATTCCCACCTACAAGTGGATGCAGCTCAAGCGGAACGTTCCCAAGCCACAAGGTGAGTTTTTAGTGATAGGAATTGGATTACAAATAAGAATGTAAGTGATGAAAAGTAAAGGAAAAACATCTTTTAATTCCCTATTCCATATCTAAGAAACATTATGAGTCTCTTGCCACATTCTTACACCCACGAAACGCACTGTAAATCCCACACACACACTGACTAATAGAAATATGACAACCGCTCGTTAGGTAACCCCGGGGGCAATTTAAGAACTACATACTTGGCTAATTGCCACATTTCAGTTTTCCCGTCACTCCGACAGACGGATACGGACGCAGAGAAGTCAACTCGAATGATTCGCTCAATAGATCACATACCATAGTCAACAGCTAAATGAATATATTAAGCTAATCAAGCTGCGAACAAACAAACACACAAGACTCAAACGCTTAAAGGGTATAAAATAAAATGAAATAAAATTCAAAAATCATAAAACGATGACTTTCAAAACTGATTGACAGCTCAGATATAACAAAAAACACAAGAAAAACAAAAAGACGAATAAGAACAACAGAAACAACAACAATAAGAAAGGGGGAAGAAAGGGAATGATATGGTGGAGTATAAGATACCCTGTAATTGGAATTGTTATTTTACGAAAGCAGCAATTCAATTCTAAGCACTTTTGGCAGTAAGAAAGATATTGGTTATTTTATTTATATATTTAAAAAATTGTTGAATCCATCTAAAGTGGGAAAATTTAAGGAAGAATATGGAATTCCAGGGATTAATGTACAATAAGCCTGATTTCAGGGAGCTCTTTAACTCATAAGTGATAGTTCCAGCTCTTATCGTCCCTAGAACTTAGGATTTCCTGGAGGAAGTGGTATAGATTCTCCGAATACTGGGTATACAGCATCAGCAATAAGGCCAATCCAACAGTAGAATTACACCAACAGAGAAGGGAACAATAACTTTCTGGTGCGTCAGTCAGAGAGTCAAAAGAGACGTCCAACCGAGGGCATGTCACCTAAAAATAAGAATGTCTCTTCAAATGCCAAAGATTTTTCGCTTACCTCTCTCCACCAGACGAATCGCCCTGTCTATACACCCGGGACGGACCCACTCTCCTTCACTCATAATTTTTAGCCGTTCTCTTGGCCTCTCCTTTGGGCCGCGTTTTGGCATATTTCTTGCATATTTCAGATAATTTTGTCAATGCCTGTGCAGTCAGTCAGGTTGTCACTTGTCACATTTTCGCCGAGCACAGTTTTGTATCTGGGAATTAGCCAGCTAAGAGAATATACTTATATTCGTTGATAAACCACTTGAAAAAGTAAATGCATAATATATTCGTAAAAATATCGGACATATAGTATACATGTATATGTAATTTATTAAGCAACAGAAGCCGGTAAAAAAACGAGTAATTTTATGAAGTGGTTAAGCTGTTAATTGGTTTTGCGTTTATTCAGAAGAGAGGTCACAGCAAATCAATACAAAATTGTTGTATTATACTCGAATTATTGCTCACCCTGAGATATTGTTGAATTATTTGCATTTGAATAAAGGAATTTTCCAGATTTGTAGAGCATGTTTGAGGTCAAGCTCCTCCAACTTCTATTCCTCTATAAGTAGTACCTATACGTCAATCCCTTCATAACTCCCAATACACTCCCCTATTTCAGCCATAACCTGTTAACCCATTTAGTTTTGTCTGTGCGCTTATAATGCACTTAACCTGTTCGTGACACAATGTTGCACAACTGACGCTGATCGGAGATATTGGAGTATCAAGCGTCCAACCACTTACAGTTCAAACGTTAATCCCTTGGCTACACCAATAATCATACAAATATTTGCTTATTAATGCTGAAAAGTGTCATTTACATGCATCGTTTTCAATTAAACGACGCCAGAGATCCCCAGAAAATATCCCCCAACCCAAAAGCGATCCGAATCGAACCGAAACGATCTGAGATCCCTGATCCCCACGCGCCGCACCCAAAACGAGACCCAAATACGTTCCAAAGGGCCCCACGAATGACGCGTGCAAGTGGAACGAGGCGCTTATGCGAGGAGGGTCTGTGGCATGGGGATTTGCGGAGATGGGGCAGAGGCTGTGGCTGTGGCTGTTGGCTCTGGCTGTGGCTGGGGGGCAGAGGCGACCGCAAGTCAAACAAACAATTAAAGCGTGCAGCCAGAGTCCAACGAGATGCAGCTCGAATCAAGAATGAAACTTGCAACGCGACGGCAATGCGGGGAGAGATGGATGCTGAGGAGGATGATGCCGCTGGTTCTCTCATGGCATGCCGATCTGGAAGTCAAGTTGGCTGTCAGAAAAAATGATTATTTAAATAAGAGTTTCTCGTTTGAGCTTCACTGCAACCGAACTGTCACTGAGCAATGATCTGCCCACCGTCCCGCACCGCACCATCAGAGAGCTTCTCGGCTGGAATCTCTGGATGCTGGTGCCTGGTCTCTCTCTCTTGGATCGGATCCGATCTCTGGCTGTGAGCGCACATGCTTGGGTCCATCTGTCATGTCATCCATTTTCAGGCAGGGAAACAGCATAATCAGCAATCATGGTTATAAATGGTAGCATTCGACATATTGGCATTCACGCACTCCACTCCAGACATTACAGTACATATATATATATTTGTATATATACGTCATATATATTTGCGGTTGTATGTGCCCTGACCAGACTGGTCTTTCAATTCAAAAGAGTTCTCTAATGTGTTAATCAGCATTTTTCAATAACCAGACCACGCCACTGAAGATCAATTGTGGTGGCAGCTTCTCGGTTTGTTCTCTCTCCCGTTGGGATAAAGATTAATTGAAAATGTGTACTGAGATTTGTCATTGACTAACTTTAACCTAGGCATTTCTTGTACCTAAGTCCAACATATAGATTGGACAAGATTTTTTGGAGTAGACAAGATCAATCAATGTGAAAAACTCTCCAAATATTCAACCGCTGCTTGACACGATTGTGATGATAGATAAAACTAAAATTAGCAAAAATATATAGAAAAGAATCCACGGCAAAGCAGTGAAAACTTATCCATCATTTGTGGTGTCAGGGTTGAAGTAGTTCACGTTCTATGAGAACTCCAAGTTTGTATGCGAAATGTGTGAGATTTTCAGGGGGACAATTTAGGGTAGAATTCTAGATACTCTAATGGGGAGATGGCGGAGAGTATGAGATAGAAGATGGATTATTTTAAATATATATTTTTAGGAAATCCATATAAAACTCTGTGTAGGAATCAGTATTTTTTATAAGTGGTTTCCTTATGAAACTTCTGAAACATCTTCATAAGCTAAATACTTATTATTTGAAGGAATGGAAATATTTAAGTCTATATTATATCCCATTAATTGGGATTCATAAGAATCACTCCGACTATCTATCTTCCCTCTATTAGCACCCACAATTTGACCAATTTTTTACGACTACGCCTCGCAATAGTTTCTTTACATTTATTAGACTTTTGATGGGTTTCCCAAAAACAAAACTAATTGAAAGTTCCCCATTGAAAGGAGGAGGGACCAGCCTTGTTGTGGTAGAACAATTTAATTAATGCCTGGCAAATGGAAGTTCTGTTCGTGTTTTATTGTTTTTTAAACGATCTACCACTTTGTAGCTGCATTTTTTATATAGTGAACGAAGTGGGGGAAGGTCCACACGCGAGGTTACGAAAAAGAAAAATATGAAATATGAAAAGAGCTGACAAAAGTGAAGGAAACTCGTATTAACATAAATGTTGGTAGAGGAGGGAGTGGAAACAGAGGAAAACTTTTGGCCAAAAGGTTGCAAAAGGTGTTAGTTTTATGGGCCACTGAAGAGCGGCGGTGGGAGGGCCATGGACAGGGGGACCTTCGCTTGGGGTATTCAACATTTATTTGATGTGATGTTTTGATATTTCTTGACACCAACACGCGACCCAAAGAGCGACGAATGTGCCACAATGAAAACGAAATGAATTAATTACGTTCATTTCAAAAACACACACAAAAAATTGGTAAGAAATATACTCGTATAAAAACACAAACAAATGAGAACCCCGCAGCAGAGGCAGACTATTTAAATGAAATGATATTGTGGATAGAAAAGTGACCACCAGGAATTCGAGATAAGATCAAACGCTTGCCCAAACCAAAAAACCAAAACGAACCCAAACAGAACTGCGGCCGAGTGAGGCCAGACTTGAGCCGAGCCGAGACCAGACCCGACCCGACCCGCCCGCCTGTCTGTCACCGTCATCGTCAGAGCCGGGGTCCGTCACAGAGGTTAGGTTAGCCCGCTGACATAGAGATGGTAGCGTGAGTGGGCTATGAAGTGCTCCAAGTCATGTACGATAGTTAGGGACATACGCATTTTTGAAATGTGGTGCGGGTCTGTGAAAGCATATCTTTTGGGGATCTTTTGTTTTTCTCTTTCGTAGTTTACTACAGGAATGGCTCTACATTCTTAGTTTTCAATATATCCAAATGTAACAAATAATGCATATATAGTTCTATGTAAATATTGAATGTTGCTAGTGGTTCTAGAAGACGTTCTTCCATCATTCCATCATATGAATGTCTCCCCAACAACCCATGTCTACTCACATACCTCACAGCTCACTCACGCTACCATCTCTAAGCCGAATACTCCTCCAAACTCTACCAAAAAACATATCAGGCCAAGCCGGACGGACCAACAAAAATGTATGGCATGTGTCGTGACAAATTTTGTTCGCTGGCGCGCGCTGAGTTAACATTTTTGAAAGCGTATTATTAAATTTCTTTCCCTCTGTCTGTTTCGGGTGTTTTCTCCACTTTTTTTTTACTGGGGGTCAACGAGAAATCTAAGAACCCGAAGGAGCCACCGCCGAGACCTGGCCTTTGACTCGATTTGAATCGATTTGTTAGGTGATAAGCTTTGGGCAGTACTTACATTAATTACCACTTAAGTGGGATCGGGTTCGGTTAGCTTTGGAATCCCCTGCACAGTGGCCCGCTCGGCATCAGGCTCCCCATCTCCCAGTAGTACCTGATCCGCT